TCTTAAGTGGTCAAAATTATTGGGTCACCATGATGTTTATTTTTCAACTTGATAGGGCCATCTTGTTTTTTTGACCATAATCAATCAACAAAAACTCGACAATTGGTGGTTAGTGCCTTAGTGGTTACGATATAATCCAAGCTTAGACAGTCTTAGGCGGCTTACGAAAGTCAGATTATTTTTTAATTATTGGAGAAACCTATGAAAAGTGTTTTTAAAAAATCATTTTGGAACATTAATGTTTTATTGTAATGTTTTAGTTAATGATATGAAATGGACATTGGTGAAACAGATTGAAAACCTGGAGATGTTGCTATTACAAGCACCGAACCAGTCGGTGCGGATGGGAGACAGCAGGATACTTAGTCAGATGCTAAGTCAGAAGCTGAGACCGGCAAAAGAGAGCAACCCTTTAGTGAGATGGTCGGAGAAAATCAAATATTTCATACTTGACAATTGGCAGAGACTATGGATCATGATGCTATGGCTTGGCATATGCGGCGGCCTCTTTACTTACAAGTTCATTCAGTACAAGAACAAAGCTGCCTATGATGTGATGGGTTATTGTGTTTGTGTCGCCAAGGGAGGCGCGGAAACTCTTAAATTCAACATGGCTCTCATATTGCTGCCTGTTTGTCGTAACACCATCACTTGGCTTAGGAACAAAACTAAGCTAGGTACTGTCGTTCCGTTTGATGATAATCTTAACTTCCATAAGGTTATTGCAAGCGGGATTGTGGTCGGGGTTTTGCTCCATGCGGGTGCGCATTTAACGTGTGATTTCCCGCGTTTAATTGCCGCGGATGAGGAAACCTATGAGCCGATGGAAAAATACTTTGGGGAGCAACCGGAGAGTTACTGGTGGTTTGTGAAGGGTGTGGAAGGATGGACTGGCATTGTGATGGTTGTGCTAATGGCTATAGCTTTTACACTCGCTACGCCTTGGTTCCGTCGTAACAAGCTTAACTTACCTAAATTCCTCAAGAAGCTTACTGGTTTTAATGCCTTCTGGTACTCCCACCATTTGTTCATCATTGTTTATGCTCTTCTTATTGTCCACGGTATCAAGCTCTACCTCACAAAGATTTGGTATCAGAAAACGGTACGCTCTTCAAACCTCATTTTCTCTGTTTTCTTCTTTTCTTTCCCTTTTCGGGTTAATAACACTTTGTGTTTATATGATTCTTGTAGACATGGATGTATCTTGCTGTACCCATCCTTCTATATGCATCTGAGAGGCTGCTCCGTGCTTTCAGATCAAGCATCAAACCGGTTAAGATGCTCAAGGTCAGATATACTTCTATTTATCTCTTAAAAAACTTAGCTTTAAAGAAAGAGTAAAAAAACAAAAATGTATATATATCTTTCAACTAATAATTTTAGACCATGTTTTTTGTAAGAGTAGGAAAATTGCCTTTGAACTTAATCCTTATTTATGTAACAATAGGTGGCTGTTTACCCCGGGAATGTATTGTCTCTACACATGACGAAGCCACAAGGATTCAAATACAAAAGTGGACAGTACATGTTCGTGAACTGCCGAGCCGTATCTCCTTTCGAATGGCATCCTTTCTCCATCACATCCGCTCCCGGAGACGATTACCTGAGCGTACACATCCGCACTCTCGGTGACTGGACACGTAAGCTCAGGACCGTTTTCTCCGAGGTGTGCAAACCTCCTACTGCCGGTAAAAGTGGTCTACTCCGAGCAGACGGAGGAGATGGAAACCTCCCGTTCCCCAAGGTCCTTATCGACGGTCCATACGGTGCTCCCGCACAAGACTACAAGAAATACGACGTGGTACTCCTCGTAGGTCTCGGCATTGGAGCCACGCCTATGATCAGTATCCTTAAGGACATCATCAACAACATGAAATCTCCTGACAGCGACATCGAGAATAACAACAGTAACAACAACAGTAAAGGGTTTAAGACGAGGAAGGCTTATTTCTACTGGGTGACAAGAGAACAAGGATCGTTCGAGTGGTTCAAGGGAATAATGGACGAGGTTTCGGAGTTAGATGAGGAAGGAATCATCGAGCTTCACAACTATTGCACGAGTGTGTACGAGGAAGGCGATGCTAGAGTGGCTCTCATTGCCATGCTTCAGTCGTTGCAACATGCTAAGAACGGTGTCGATGTTGTGTCGGGGACACGTGTCAAGTCCCACTTCGCTAAACCTAACTGGAGACAAGTCTACAAGAAGATCGCAGTTCAACATCCCGGCAAAAGAATCGGTAAACTAATCTCGACCGTTAATCTCGTTATGTACGTGATAATGTATAATAAAGTAATGAATTTGGATTCAATACTAATATGAATTTTCATTGCAGGAGTCTTCTACTGTGGTGCGCCAGGATTGACAAAGGAATTAAAAAATCTAGCTTTGGATTTCTCTCGAAAGACAACTACCAAGTTTGACTTCCACAAAGAGAACTTCTAGATTATATAAGTCGTAGAAAAATAAAACAAGAATCTCTACAGAAATATTTATTTTAAATTCTTTTCATTGTATGAAAAAATATATGAGTTATCTTTTTCTTTTTTTTTCTTTTTTTTTTTTCTATATTCCTACCGTTTTTTTTGGCTACATTTTCACTACTTAGTTTAATGCGAAATTAAGTATAACATAGTAGAAGTTTAGTTACAGCTTTGGTGTTGTAAACATGTAATTATGGGGTTACATGTGGCATTATTTTGTACTTATACTCGTATCTTTAACAAGTAAAGATAGTTTTGATTTTGAATACCCATTACTCCTTTTGACGTAACTTATAGAGATATCAACATTGGATAGGTCTTGATTATTTGTTCACATATGTATTTGCGTGTTTAACTTGTTTATATGTTGTTAATAGTGTGCTTTTAGTTAAACGGACAAATAATCTCTTAGCGCAAAAGCTTCTAATATCACTCTAGCTTAGCTTAGTTTAGGTTATCATAAGTCTTATTGCGTTTACGTCTTTCCTTACGTTTTTGATCTCCTAATGACTTCTTTAATTTGCCTTTGCATTTGAGGCACTTTAAGGACTCTAAAACTATGCAGCAAGAAAATAAACAAAATTTAATATATCAAAATAATTGAACACAAATGAAATCTATAATAATGAGAAAAAATAAATGGTTAATTTTGTTTAAACGGTTACGAATTGCGAATTTTGTATTCTTAGAACAAAAGGCATATGAAGTGTAAGGATGCACTGGATGAGACACAAGGTACGTCGAATCGTTTATAGCTTCATGAAAAGTAATTTTTGTTTTTCAATTCTATGTTGATAAGTTGTCAAAACCAGCCTAGGTTTCTTATACAAAAAGACTGGCAGTACTTCCTCAAGCAAATGATATCTAGAAAAGGCCAATCGCTTTTTCGAACTATTTTGTTGTTGTTGTTTAGTCTTAAGGCATGTCAAATGTAACTCTTAATCATGTATCTTTATATTGGCAACTGCCAACTGTAGTAGCATTTTAGAAAGTTGCATCAATAAGCATTATCTTTGTTTCAATAGATAAATTAGTTCTTAGTTAGTTGCTTTATCTAAGATGTCATCTTCACATGTTGTATGCCATTCAATAAACTTTAATGATTGGTGTGTTGTTTCTTTTTGGCTATCGAGTACAAGTTCTCTCTATTGTTGATAGTCTGATGGCGTTATTACTAATATCATAAAAACAATAAAGTGTTGCAAAGCCAAAGGAGCGACTCGGAACTCTTTGCTCCAAGTTAAAAGTAAATGAGCTTGAAGTTGATAGTTCAAGCACGGATTGTGCTAGGTTATTTGAATTATTTGTCATCTCACGATTTTGAGCATCTTAAGATCCTACAACGTAAAGGATGTTTTCCTATTAAGAAAAGTTTTTATTTAATTTATGCATAAACCTCCATGGGTAAGGAGAAATATGTCTTTACTAATGGGGCATATATATTTATTGATTCATTTTGATAATGGAGTCCACCAAAAAGAGGGAGGAAATTAAAAGTTTCAAAAAAAATCTAGCCTATTACAATCTAAGAAAACTGACAAAATTTATGGTTGATTACAGAAGATGTTGCTTGAGCATCAAACTAAGATAAAGAGGGAGACATATGATTATATGAAGAGCCAACCCTTGGGCCAAGCAGGCCATGCATAGGCTTGCGGCCGCTAATAATATGATCTTGTTTTGGCTTTTTCTATAGAAAACTTAGTCTAGTCACTAGTGGTTCAATTATGGTGGCTACCTCATCATCATTTCATGGGATTGAGACTTATGTGAGGCCAAACATGTTTTTTTTCCCAACAAAATACTAAATTATTAAAAAATTATGTGGCCCAATTTTTGTCCACTTTGTAGCCTTGTAAAACTCATGGCCGGTTCTGGACTGATGATATCTCGTGAGTTAGGAGCTAATTCGACCAATATAGACTTACAAGAAGTTAGGAGCAAGCCAATGGTGCGAGTTTATGTGGCTTGAGATTTTTGAGCTTGACAAAATCAAAGATTCAAAGATATTCGCCTTAATGTTTGAAGAATTAAAACTTAGAGAAGATTTAAAAATATATGAGCTTGGGTGAAGATACTATAGGTTTAGGGTTTAGGTCGTTGGGATAAACAGATTAGAGGGTTAGTCGCGAGCGGCTTATCGGATTCACAATCGCAAAGAGAGGAGGTTTGAAAGATTGTAGAGTTAAGTAACTACTATCAGGTGTAACTTAAGTAAAGTTAACTTGAAAGGTTTTCTAGTAAACAAAGCATTTGGCTGATAATGTAATCATGAACGTAACTTTGACTGCTGAGTCTGAGTAAATGAAACGAATGTACCGAAATATGATTAAGACTGAAATAAGTGAAATATAATCCAAAAATAGAATGTTCAATACTGTAACACTTCAAAGATCTTACACATAGTACGACCTCTAGGAGGAAGAAAACATATTCCACAAAACAGATCCTTCCTTCAACTCAACATGTCAAATGAAAACACATCTAAGAGATCATAATATTTCGATCCTAGAAAATAAGGGGGCTCGAAGGATTTATCATAGACAACACAAAATAAGAACGTTAGCAAAGATCATAATATGAATCTATTATTCATATCTATCGCCAACATGTTTATATATAATATGGATATGGGTTTAGGTGCCTCGGGCTATCATTTCTTGGTACCTCTTGAAGGACAAGAGTTTCTGAAGCTTCATCTGCTTATGAAACCTTGAAATAAAGATATCTGCGACATGGTCGATCTCATCTTCTAGCTTGAAATTCTCTCCTTCTTCTTCCTTCGAGTTCCGCACCATTTCTATCACAGAACTACCTTGACCTTCCTCCTCCAAGTCTCCAAACTCCTCCTCTCCTTCGAACAACGTGTGCCTCAGATCTGGATACTTGTCGCTGTCATCCTCGTGAACGTCATATTCCTCATGATGAGCCATTGTGGATGCCTTGCTATTGTAGAGAACTATAGCCTTGTTCTTGTCTTGCTCCTGCTCGTGGTCGTTGTCTTGATCTGCATGGCCCAAGAGGTGGTGAATCTTGTTGGAAATCGTACGGAAGCAGAGTTTCTTGTGTTTGGCAAGGGACAACATGAGGATTCGTGTCTTGAAAGCACTTGTTTTGTTCTTTATGGCTATAGATTTAGCCTTCGCCATGGAACTCAACAACGCAACGATATGTTTCATCAATGCCGTAGCTTTCTTCATATTTTTTCTTTGTAAGAGCTTCAATAATTGTGTTTTTTCTTATGTTTTGGATGTTGCTTAATTAGCATGGAAAGGAACATTGGAGGTGAGAGCCCTTCGGGGTTTATATAGAAACATGGAAAGGTACGGTCACAAGTCATGGCTTTATGAGTCTTGTCGTATATTTCTTTAATTAACGGCTACATGGTTTACTTAATGGCGCAGCAATCTTCTCACAGTTTGCCACGTGTACATAAGCCATTTGATGTAGTGGATCACTTGCTTTTTCTGGTTTAAACTTTATGCACGTTCTCTTTTATCAAATTGCATCGTGCCTACATTTTACGAACGTAAGCATTTGATATTTCTATTACTTCTTTTTATGATAAAGGTTCTCAAGAAATTAATTTTATGTTGATTTTGGTTTATAAATGTGGCCTAACGGGGTTACTTTGGCGATGAGTCGGGTATGTTTTTTCTTATAAAGTATCATGCGACATAATTCATGCCTACTATGAATTTAAAACGAATAAAAATGGTTACAATTTTTCTACTAAAATTCATGTTTGGTACGTCATAAAAATATGGACAAAAGTTTTTGTAAACCGAACATGGCGTTTTTATCAGTCTATATGTTTTAAGGGACTCTCTTTAGTGGTTCGGCTGTTGAGGCCTCTAGACTCCGGATCATACGTTCTAAAGATTAAAGCCTCTACTCCATGAGTGGACTCTAGATCGCGACATTGCGGGATGGTTATGGGAGAGCGCCTCTGAAGAGTTTCAACATAGAGAAATTTGAGGGTAAAGCCTCTCGAACTGGTTTTATTTCCACGTATCGTATCCCGATAGGTTAATCTCTGAAAACCGAAAAATCATCCGGACAAGTATAGTTGCATGGGATCTAATGGAATAACTCTTCCGTAACTTCTTTGTTTGATAAATAAATAAATGCTTTTTTTGTGAAAAAATGAACTATATTAATAGTTAAAAGTAATTAGAACAGTTCGGAGAGTGAGATTACATAATTTGTAAATGATCAAATATATGATATATACATCCACAATGAATTCAAACTATTGTACACTTCTTCCTTTTAAGGATTTGATTGATTAGCAACTTTGTTTTTAAATGTGATTAACTTTACATACGAAAGCAATTGTACAGCTAAGTTATCTAAACAAAAGTATCATTTGTTACCCAGAAAGAAGTTTCATCAACTTTGTGTAAGAAAAAATGTTTTTGTAGAAAAGCCTCAGAATTAGGAAGATGCTTCGGTAAAGTTACAAAAACAGCTTAAGAGATCCAAACGTAAATTCATTGTACTTTTCTTAAAACTACTTTAAAATTTTACTTTAATTTTTTTTATACAGTCTTATTTACTTTTTTTTTCTAAAAATCGGAGACAAAGATGAGATGGAGAAAAAGCATTTGATGTTTTTGTATAATTGGAAAGTGTTTACGCACTTGGTCTCTCTCACATTTCAAGGCGCCGCGAAATTGCTTGCTCATGATATCTAGCTTTACAAGATTCTCTTTCGCTTATAGCCACTCTTCGATTTCTTTTTCTTTAGATTTCTAGATTTTAGATATTATACATTGTCGATGTTAAAGATTTTAGATATTATACATTGTCCATGTTAAAAGGAAAAGATGATATTATACATTGGTCTTGTCATTTATCAATTATTAGTTTTAAAATTGATTCTAATTTAGAGGTACTAGGAACAGTTTCATTGCTCGATATCCAAATTTGCACAAAACCATTGGATTTATTTAGATTTTAGACAATAGAATACACAACCGATATTAACACAGACTATTTTGCAAAAGAGGTGTTCAAAATGTAATGTTAGTGACCATAGATTTCAAAGAAAGCTTCTCCAGCTGAGAGTTTTAGATCTCAAACCGTAAAACATATTTTCAGTGTTAGTGCATGTAAAGCTCGAGCCATCGGATTAGAGATTCCCATTCAGATGGCAGAAAAGATAACATTGGAGCATTGATTCGAACTAGGCCTGGGCGTTCGGATATTCGGGTCGGGTTCAGGTCGGGTTTTTCGGGTTCGGGTTTTTCGGGTTCGGGTTTTTCGGGTTTAGAAAGCTAAGACCCGTTCGGGTATTTTAAAACTTTGGGTTCGGGTCTGGTTCGGGTCGGGTATTTCGGGTTCGGATTCGGGTTTACCCGAAGTATCCAAATATTAAAAATTTTGTATCCGATTCAATGCAAAGTATTGAAAATACTCAAAAAAATCTATAAAACCCAAGTATTGTTTACCCAAATTTAGCCAAAAGTAGCTAAAACACCCGAAAATATCATAACATCCGAATAATTTAGGCACTTACTTACTACAAGTATAAATATTATTAATATATTATAACTATGTACTTATATTTCGGGTATGTTCGGCTACTTGTTCGGGTTCAGGTTCGGATTGGGTTCGGATTCGGGTTTTCGGGTTGTGAAGTTTAGAACCCGTTCGGGTATTTTAAAACTTCGGATTCGGGTTCGGGCCGGGTTTTTCGGGTCGGGTTCGGATATTATGCCCAGGCCAAATTCAAACTATTCTCATTCCAATTCATCAAACCAGTCATCAATAGCGTGGCAGCGAAGATCATACAAACTGGGTCACTCACTAACTCACCGATGTGTGGCATTCAGTCCTAACCTAGTTATTGTTGTAGACCTATATAGCTAACGTTTCACTTCAGCAACTTAACTTCAAGTCTGAGTTTCTTTTAGCCATACCAATATGACAATTCTTTTGCACAAGTAATTCAAATTTAACCAAGGTTGCTTGTTCACATTTAACAATGGTTACTTGTTTAATGAATGACCAAATTACCAACAAATGTAAACATGAACAAGAAACCAGGCAACAAATGCAATCCAAGAAAGATAAAAACTTAAATGAAAGCAGATTCAGTTTCAACAAGACAGAGTTCTAATGAACTACTCGAGTTTTATCATGCCTTCAAAATCTTCTCATAAGCAAAAAAACGTCATAGACATCAAAACTACTAAAGCAAGAAAACCAAATTAGATAAAGATCTGATTCCCATCACAGCAACAACACCTGCGAAAGGATGATTGATTCGTTAGATCTCAATCTCACTTCTTCCTGAAAGAGCATCCCTCTTGGAGCCTCGCTTTACCACCGGTGGGCTGGCACAAAACTGTCTGACAGTTTCCACACACTACAACTGTTTGCGAATGGCTGAACACAGTAGTTCTACAAAATAACCAACAAGCAATTCGTTACCAAGTCCAAGTGTACTCTCCTCACAAATTCACATCACTACTTATTCACAATTTCTTCCTAATACCAATCTTCTATTGTAGAATAAAGCAGCATTCACGTTGAGCAAATTCGACAATTCACAACTGACTAAAAAACTGGACAATTTCTTCCTAGTACCTATCAATAGTTTCAATGAAATTAGCATTCAAAATCGACAATTCAATTCACAGTATCACTACTGATCTAAAACATTAGTTTCTTCCTAATACCAATCTATATCTATAAATTCAATAAAACAACACTCAAATTCAATATCAAACAACATTTTTAAGACTCTATAAAACAAAATTAGAAAACTCACATGTTGAAGCATCCCTGACACTTAACATCCTGAAAAACACAATGAAAACAGAGTAAGATTCATTGCTTCGCATCCAATTGTGTTACAACAAATGAGATTTAAGAGAAGAAAACAAACAGTACCATGAAGAAAGAGTTAGGAGATTGCACGAGACGCTTGAGCTTATGCTTTCTCTTCTCAAGTTCAGCAGGAGGATTGAGGAGATCGATGTCATTTTGGAGCACCTAATCCACAGATCCATAAGAAATATGACAAAAAATCAGAAATTACAGAATCATAAACAAAGGAGAAGAAAAAAGAGAAGAGAGATATTTTACCATGATTGCTTGCGGAAAGGAGACGAAGACGAATTGGTTGATGAAACCCTAGAAGCAACGAGACGGAGACTGCAGCTTTAGCTTCAATCTAAGTATATATATATATATATGTCTGTCTGAAATGTGACATACAAAACATTGGGCCTTATAGGCCCAGCCCATTATACATAAATGGAGAAATTTGACTTACCAATTTGTATTCTATTATTTTGGAAAACTTAAAACCATAAAGAAAATTCTTGTGAACCTATCGGTAAAAGTGGGGGTTTAGCTATATTTTGGAAAAATATTCTAGATTTAAAAATTCTTTTTGCATATAAGAGTCTTGTAGATGTGAAGATTAGGAATGGTACAATCTTTTGGTTTGTTACTTTTGTTTATGGCAATTCTGTGACCAATTTGAAAGATTTGGTTTGGGAAATAATGAATACAATTGATGTTTCAAGAAAAGAAGCTTGGTGTATTATTGGTTATTTCAATGAGATGTTATCTAATGAGGAAAAGCTAGGTGGTCTTTAAAGACAAACTTCCTATTTTCAACATTTGCAGACTCTCTTGAAGAATTGTGATATGTATGAATTAGGAAGTTTTGATAATGGCTTCACTTGGGGGGGGGGCGAGAAAAGACTTGATCAATGCTTTGGTAATTCAGCTTCGTTTTCCTTATTCCCAAAAGCACATCAGTGGTTTTTAAAGAAGCTCATATCTTATCATAAACCGGTTCTAGTCAAATTTACAAACGGTAAGGAACTTTTTCGTGGTCAGTTTCGCTTTGATAAGAGATGGGCTGAGGTAGATTCCGTCGGGGGTGGTTGTATTGTTGTTGCCGGAGGTAGATTCACTTCGTGGCGGTGACACCATGACTATTTCTTGGAGACTCTTCTTTCAATAGTAACTCTTCCGGCGATTCTTTGAGAGTTAGAAGAAAGAATCAATGCGAGAGAGATGATGAATTTTGAAACAAGTAAACAAGAAATTTAATGTGATTAGAGTATTTGTGTATCTCGGTGGGAAAAATTAAACCTTCTAAATTTGGGTATTGGGCTAGAAAATAATGGAATCTGGATGAAAACGGTTAATTCCGAAAAAAACAACATTAGTCAAAATTATTTTCGATAACATACGGGATGGAAATTTTGGATAAAGTAGACATATTGGAATTCTATTTTGTTTTCATTGGTCTTCTGATGCTATATATAGTAGTCCTAGTTTCAAATTCTGGATTCAGAAGATATTTTTTTGTAATGAGTTCAAAGCAAGTTTCTAAGAAAGGGATTTTCGAAGATTTTTTATTTCAGTTCACTAATCACAATTGTTTGATGAGACACAAAAAAAAAAGTGCAAGTAATCTCAAAATGTCTGAAACTTGAAGATGTTTGTAACCACAATACGAAACTTAGGTCAGCAATATCGTTTAGTTACAGTTATCTTTGTGCATCAAGTCCTAAATTACAAAGTTTTGGTCCAGACTATCCGTTATAGTAAAAAAGAAAAGAAAGAAAAAATATAAAGTAAAACCTCTATAAATTAATAATGTTGGGACCATGATATTTAATTAATTTATAGTGATATTAATTTATCTATAAATTAATATTTATTATTTTATCGTATAAATTAATAAATATTAATTTATAAAGAGATTTGGTTTAATTTTTAAATTTCTAAAACAATATGAAATTGCTGTTTTGGATCTTAAATTATGGACTTTGGATTTGATATTTAGAATTTTTTTTTTCAGCCATAAGTTACAAATATTATAAGAGAATTTACATATACAAACGATATACATAAATTCAAATTTATGATTAATGACCTCATGTGTCATATTTTGACATCATAAAGGACTATCAAAATGAAAACTATGCATATTCATACAAACTTATAGAAAAAATTAGTTATTTTTCTTACGTAGTTATAAAATATAATAGAAAACTTTATTTTAAAGGCACAAAACAATTTTTTTATACAATAAAAGTTAGAGACAATCACTAACAAAAATTTAAATTCTTAGACATTAAATAATGCATTAGACCACCATTATCGGTGGATCCAAATGGGTGTTCTAAGGCAAAAGTGTCTAAAAAATAAATCATAAAAGAAAAAAAACCTTAGACTCGTGTCTAAAATTGAATTTTTGGAACTGAGTTGGACACCCATACGTGTCGGTCTGCGATAGGTGGGGGACTGTATTAGACGAAAATTTTCTTTTGGCTGTGTTTCTCTCTCTCGGTTCATCGTCTCTCTGGCTCTCTCAATCGGAAGCAAACGGAGGAGATTCTCTTCACGAGAGAGAGAGAGGTAATTTTGCATTATAATGAAATGAATCTCTAGTCTCTAGAGAGCAAGGAACTTTCTCCCCTAGATTTATTTTGGATCATTTTCTCTTCTTAATTTGCAGAAATCAAGAACAGGGAACAGAGATATACAAAGGAGTGTAGTTTGTGTTGCTTTTGAATATGACAAATGTAGTTTGTGTCTAGTTTTGTAAAAGACTTCTACACATTTTTCAAAATTTTAAAATATTGGATCCTCAATTTTAGATCTACCATTGGAGTGTGAAAAAATGAAAAACCAACTAGATGTCTAAATTTCAAGTTTTGCATTATTTACAATTATAAATATGGTTTGGACTCCTCCAACCATTGGAGATGCTCTTAGTATATTCTATTATTTATATGATTATTAATTTATGATATTATTAGGACCATATTTTTACATAGAGATTTTAAAAAAATTATTATCTTATTATCTTATCGAATTTGATTAATTTTTACACTGGTCCGACTCGAAACCGACAAAATTTATTATTTTATTATGTTTATTAATTTATAGAGGTCCTACTGTATATTATAGGAATTTATTTTTCTTTGCATCAATGTAGCAACGTATCTCTTACCAAAGATAAATAAATTCAGCTAGTTACTTTAACCAACTTGTGTTCCATCATAATATGAAGAAGCATTATTATTTTGTAAACATTTTTGTTTTTCTTAGATATCCAAGATAACTAGTTCCAGGTAGCACCGGTTTAACTCAAGCAACACCGGTTCAAGTAACCAAAATTCAAGATGGAAACCGAGATAAAAATAGCCGTTTTTAACAAATCTCTCTCGATTAAAGTTCTAACGGGTATAATCATAGAACTACGAGGCGGTGTGTTTTGAAATTTCAGATGGTTGTTTTATTTATCTCTCTTCTTTCTTCTTCTTCTTCTTCTTCTTCATACTCGAACAAAACCTCTCGAACCTCTTCGTTGGGTACAAATCCTTCTTTTAATTTGTATCTATTTCTCATGAATTCTTCAGTTTCAACAACGTAATCTGGCCTGAACGGATTCGAAAATCAACAAAAACCTCTCAAATCTCTTCGTTAGGTAAAACTAAAACCCTTCTTTTCAATTGTGTTGATTTCTCCTAAATTATCCAATTTCAAATACGTAATTTGATCTGATCCGCTTCAAATTCTGAATCCCAAAGATTGATCTGTTTATGAATTACTTGATTTCGATTACTGTTACACGAGAGATCAAACCTCCCAAATTTAGGGTTTCGTCGATTGATCTGTTTACGAACTGTGTTTCTCTGTAACTTGATTCGATTTCGTTTATTGTTACTTTACATATCCCAATCGGTATATAAATCTTCCTGCTTTTAGGTCGATCAATTGTGTTATTTTGTCTATATGATAGTTTTGAGATTTGGTTTTGACAGGAACATGATCGGGAAAGAGATTGATGGCCGTAGCTTCACCATTATCGAAGATAAACTCTGTTTTCGGTTCAGATGTGTTATGCATCACTTTGTCTCTTGCTCTTGTTCTTATGGTTTACTTCTTCTTTTTTATGTTAATCCTTTCAAGTCTTCGTTGCCTGAATAAAAGAGACATGTATCCATCCGCAATAAATTTGATTTTGAAAGTTACTTTGCTCCACCAGTTCAATATGATTTTAAGATTATTTGTCTACATTCATATATAAATTCTTGTGTTTCCCATAATTTTTTGTAAGTGTGGTAGATACCCAAACTAACTTTAATCTGCATGTTGATGTGCAAGCAGGGATAATCATCTAAAGGAAAGTTACATGCTGAATGAAGTTGACATATTGAGGAGTAAACGCCATTGGTACAAAGCTTACTTTTACTTCTTGTTTTCATGGCTAATAAATTTCTCAACTGTGACTTACAGGAGGTGATAGAGCGATTTGAACAAAATTTCTGGAAAGGTAAACTTTAGTAGCTAGTTACTGTTAAACAAACGTATAAGGTGCTTCCATATAATTCTTAAAGAACTTTTGCAAAGATGGATGTAACTAAGCAAGTGTATTTAGTACCCATAAGGCATGCATTACTCTTTTTTCACATGGGAAAGCCAAATGTGTTGCTTACTAATCAAATATTCGGTTCAGGAAAATGGATTCTCTGCAAAGAGTAAACATTGGGGAGAATATTGGGCAGCAAGGAGCAAACGAAGGTTAATTTGTGTGGATTTTTGTACATTTGTGTGGATTATCTTAATTTTTGTATTTCTTCTTTTCCTTTCTGTACTTATATTCATGGGACTGCGGCTCCAAAGTGTGTTTTTAAGACGTCAGTTTCCACATCAACCTCTGCTAGAGAGCTGGAAAGCTTACCTAGGGAAGATATCAGTAGCAAGATTACCCCTAGTCTTCCTAAGGGCTTTGATAGTTCTGATTGAAAGGTGCTGTACAAATTGGAAATCTTCTTTTAACTATTCTTTTGTGGAAATTTATTTTAAGCTGTAGAGTTGAAACTGAGTCTTTTAAACTATTGTAGATGCATTTGGATTCAACGGAAGCTGTAACTAAAATTCTGGTAGTGGCTAATAAACGTATCCAACCAACTGTAATTGGTTTGAGGTCAGAATTTTTTTCTATAATTCTCTGTTTTTATCCCAAGGTTTGTGATACGTGTCTTTATTCAATATCACTGCCTGCCAGTTTTACCAAATACTTGATTGATCTACTTCAGGGAATTCTATCTGATGTTCTGAATATTTCGGAGATAACAATAAGCGCATGAGAGAATGGT